AACACATGAAAATGAATACATAATATTACAAAAGATGTGAGCTTTCAAAAGTACAAGATTTTGGTTACTATTCAAAATATAAGTGTTTCTTCAAAATTTTAAATTTATTTTTTCTAGAACATATTTAGAAACACTATCCTTTATAAAAAATAAATGAATTTTATGTATTAATTAAATTTCACATATGAATATAGGTTTTTGACATTTTCGACATTTTTGACAGTGAGGTTTTTGACGTGACGGTTTAAACCATGGTTTAAACTGTCAAAAACTGTCACATGTCAAAAACCTGCCAACCCTGCTTTCAAGGAGGTATTAAGCAAGTTTCCTATTAAGTGATGGGTAGGTGTTAGGAGGTGTGAACCTGATAATTAGAACCGACTGAAGACAAAAACTCTTATTCGGTATCATATGACTAACTTGAATATCTGTGTTAATTGAAAAATTATATTCATTTATCTGTACCTATAGCTAGAATTATGTATTTATATCAAACTTTTTCCAATATTATTTTTATATACATAAAAAATATGTTTTAAAGTTTAAATAAATATCCTTGTAGATTAGTTAATTATTTCTGTATCTTTAAAAATATTTAAAAAACGATGTGCCGTGTTAAACTTTGTTATTAGGGTAACTTTCCCATAAACGGATTACTCTAAAAAACGGGCAATTTTTCTGTCCCTAGAATGTCCGCTTATGACTGCTGTATTATATATATATATATATATATATATACTCATAAAATAAGTTCAAAATGAAAATAAAACAAAGGAAAATTACAGACACATGAAAAAAGGGGAAAAAAGAAAAATAAGAATAAAAAAAAAATATTAATAATAATAATAAAAATCCAAAAAAAAGGGATAAATTTTTTTTTAAAAAACGAGAAAAAAAAGTTATCCTTTTTTTTCCAAATTTTTATTATTATTATTTTTTTCTAGATTTTTTTTTATTGTTATTATTTTTCTTTTCCCCCCTTTTTTCATATGTCTGTAATTTTCCTTTGTTTTATCTTCATTTTGAACATATTTTATGAGTTCTATTTACTTGCAGCTTATGCGCAATAAATAAAACTTATTGTTTTTCTTAATTTTCTTCATGTTTTTTTGTATTTATTTATTTTGCTTTAAATGTATGTATGTATGTATATATACAGTGAAACCTCCTGTTATGGACACTCCTGCAAAACGGACGCCTCTCAATACGGACATATTTTTAATTCCCCGAGAATCTTCTATGAATAAACCATTACGTACATTCTCCGCAAAGCGGACACTCCCGTAACTGGACGCGGACAGTCATTTTGATCCTGTAACGTTTTTTATCTCCACAAACCGGACACTACTTTTTCTAAATAAATTGCAAGATAAAAAAATACAACTTTTCACCATTTTTAAAGCATGTAAATAAAACTTTTGCCTTATCCATAACTAAAAATATTGTTAAGCTATTTTACCACCGAAAAATCAATCTTTCTCCGGTCACCTTGTCTTATCTTTGTAAAGAAAGCAGAGAAAATGGTACTGCACTCCTGTAATAATTCTGACATCGGCATCTTTTCATCTGGACCACACAGGTTATGAGACCCGTCAAGTTGAAATGACTTCTCTCAATGCTTCTTCCCCATTGAAAATTTCTTTAATTTTCTTATCAATTTGAAGACTGTATTTAACACAACTGGGGTAAAAAAAAAAGAGAACAGAAGTATAATCTTAGAGTTTTTTTTATATAAATGAAACATTTATTCAGACACTTGATAGCTGATCAATTGTGAATAATCATCTCCATAGGTAGTCATGACTTACAGGTATGCATTACTTTTTCTGTGAATCATGGGAGGTTTATTTTTCAAGAAGGTATTACCATGTTCCCTATCAAATGATAAGTAGGCGTAAGGGGATGTGAACCTAATAATTGAAACGGAATGAGGACAGTACGCTCCTATTTGGTATCATATGTCTAACTTGAGTATCCATGCTAATAGGAAAATTATATTTATTTATCTGTAGCTACATCCAGAATTATGTATTTATATCAAACTTCTTTATATATTCTTTTTTATCTTTCTTATTGTTTAAATAAATATTCTTGTAGATATTTACAGTATCCTTGTAGATATTATTTAATTATTTCTACATCTTTGAGAATATTCTAAAAACAATTTACAGTGTTAAATTTCGTTATTAGGGTACCCTTCCCGTAAACGGACAACTCTCATAAACGGACAAATTTTTTAGTCCCATGAATGTCCGCTTAACGGAGGTTTCACTGTATATATATATATATATATACAGAGAGAGAGAGAAAGTTTACTCTTTAACATCTTCTATTGCGTCTTAAAATTGTTCTTTTTTTTTTTCTTCAAATTTTAATTGAGTAAAGCAAGGCTTGTATTGATTGAAAGTAACTGTGGCTATCTTTACTATATCTATAATTTTTAGGGTCTAAATTGTTTTTTACTGAGGGTTTTTAATAAAAGTTCTTATTTTATTTAGATTCATTCCTGTGTGGCAGCGTAATGAGAGCGATCAATCTACTCATAAATGGATGGTATATGTCAGAGGTGATAAAGATAAAAAACCAGACGATGTTGATGTAAATGTCAAGAAAGTCAGATTTTTGTTGCATCCTAGTTATCGGCCGAATGATATAGTTGAAATAAAGTATGTTTAGTTTCAGTGTATAAAAAAATTATTTTTGGAGTTGCATGCAATTTGCATACTAAAAAGTTTAGTATGCATTTTAATAAACTTAAAACATTAAATCCTAGTGTGTAGTATATTACACATCTGCCAAATATTAAGTAAACTTTTTTTTTCCTATTCCAAGCATTTTTATCTAAAGATTTTACTGAATAAATTAAGTTTGTAAAATTGATCATAATGTGCTCTAAAATCTGGAAGATTGAGTGGTTTTATTATGTCATTTCACATGTTCTTCCAGTGTCTAGTTATAGTTTTTGAAATATCTATCTTTAATATCATTATCTTATCTTTAACTTTTCGAAGACACAGACAGTGTTTTATTGCATTTTGGTGTAGCAGTTTTATACTTAATTGGTTGATTGTAAAAGTTTTTTTTGAAAATAATAATTACAATATGTTGCTTTAATTCCTCATCCTTGTATTTTTGCCTGTAATTCAGTGATGAATGATCAGGAATTGGTAAAAAAGGAGAAGTTTACAAGCTTCTGTTAACTTTTACATGTCTTCATTGCAAAAATTAACTGTCTTATAAATAAAAATACTACTACTAAAAATTAAACTCAGTATTCAAGAAAAGCCGTCCCACTGAGTTTAATCCCAGCCGTCAAGAAAAGCGCGTAAATAAAAGTTATCAATACTACTAAAGTAAACTCAGTGGAGCGACAGCCCATAGAGGGCCAAGGCCTACTGTGCCCATCTCAGTTTTCTTGACCTTGTGCTCTGGGTTGCAGGAGCAGGTGTTCCGGTCAGGTGGTCAGCCGAACGCGGAACCCCCCAGTGTTTAGTTCCCAAGCATGCTTGGTACTCACTTATCGACCCACTGAAAGGATGAAAGGCTGAGTCAACCTTGCCCGGCCTGAGGATCGAACCCAGGACCTGTGGCACGGGAGTGTGAAGCGCTACCACTCAGCCATCGGGCGTCAAATAAAAATACAATCCCTATTAATAAATACAGAGAGCTGAACTATTTTTTATTTTTATTTTCTGTATTTATAAATTTTTTAAATTCCTTCGAAAGATTGTTTTGGTTCGATTTCAAAATTGAAAAGTAAAATGTCAGATTGGTTAAAAAATTAGATTCCCTTTGTGTCATTTTGAAATTTATAAAACCTTTCCCATTTTTTGGTCTGTCAAAATATTAGCTTGCAAAAAATAAATAAATAAGTGTTTAGAAAAAGGAAAATCTGACAGTCAACAGTCAGTGGTAAAATAAAATCTTCATTTCATGAAAATAGAATAAAATTGAAATTACTATGATAATAGGATTGTAAAAATAAATAAATAATAATTTTATTAGTAGAGAGAAATCAAAATTGTCCTACATCTATATATAATTAAGAACTTACAGGTGGACAACTAGTCTAAATGCTGCACCAGATGTGTGAATTGAACTGTTTGACTTAATATTTAATTTTAAAGACTAGTATTAACAAAATTTCAATCTTCTTACGAAATAATTTTGAAGTAATAGTATTTAAAATATTTTCAATAGCTAATGAAATCTTTATTCAATATTCTGTAAGAAATGAAATCTTGCAAAGAATTCTGAATACAGACTTCTCTTTGTGGAAAATTAGAAGTTTACATTTAATAGTTTATTGCTATTTACGATATTTATTTTTTACAGCTCTCCACCTTTTCAATTGGTTAAAAGAGGCTGGGGAGAATTTCCTGTAAGGGTGCAACTTCATTTTCATGATACTCGAAACAAACCTGTTGATATCATTCATAATCTAAAGGTAATTTCAATGTTTTTAATGTTTATTTAATTTTGAACTGTGCATAATTTTATAAGGAACTAGTTATTTTTTAATTTATTAAACTATAAAGAATAAAATGAGTGGGCCATGTCCTCAGTATGTATGAAGATCACGCCATGAAAAAAATCTTTTAGGCTAAGCCAACAAGCACTCTAAGAAATGGAGACCAAATTTGACATGATTAGATGGCTTAAGAGTTCCACTGGTACTGCGGACAAAAAGCTGCAGAATATTTGCAGGTAGTAGACTAGCCTGGAAAATACTTCTTGGAAAAGCAGGTACCAACCCAAGCAGGTCGCTAATGAAGATGAAAAGAATGTTATTTTTTTTAATAAAATCATTCTCATAATTCTTTTGCAAAGGCACAAACATAGAAGTGTCTATAAAACTTTGTAATTTTTATTGAAAAATTTAATAATGTAAGTTAAATATATATTTACGTCAATGGTTCCCAAAAGGTGTTCTGTGGAACTGTTTCGTTCCATGGAAGGGTTACAGTGGTACCAAGAGTCAGGAACCTTTGAACCTTTAATTACATTTATATCCAATTAATGATCCAATACTTATTTAATTTTTTGGTTATTTTTATGAAATTATTTAAATAAAATGCCAGTCAAAAAGAAAATAGCTAAATTAAAAAAAAATTTCCTTAATAAATGCTTGATTAATTTATGTAATATGAATTTATTATGTAATTAATTTATTATGAAATTATGTAATATGAAAAATAATATTATTATGATTCTGCACCAAACATTTCACTTACAATAAAAAAAGACACTGAAAAAATATGTTCTGCTGATAACTATTGTCATTGCTTTTTCTTCATTTCAGCTGAAACCACAATTCAGCTTATTTTATACTTTTCAATTACAACAAAAAACAAATTCACATCTAGATTAGAAACTAGATGTCGCTGTAGATATTTAAATTCAACGCTTGGTCATAAATCTTAATTTTAAGACTAGTATTGAAAAAATTTCAATCTGTCCGTTAAATCTTTTTAAAATACGAGCATTTAAACTATTTTCAATAGTTAATGAACTTAAATTACAACTTAGGTGTTTTGCCAAAAGAAAATGAATCATTTATGGTTCAATAGCAAAAAAAAAAAAAAAANAAAAAAAAAAAAAAAAAAAAAAAAAAAAAAAAAAAAAAAAAAAAATGGTAACTGCTGATCTCTATTCTGACCCTAAATTACAAACTGATCCAATTGATGTTAACAAGGCAATCGACACTGAAGAAAGGGAACACGCTTTTTTTCTTCCTCCAAAGGTTTTTATTGACTTCTCACACATTAACTCAACATGTTGCACTAACTTTTCTTATCTATTGTATAGAATTGCAAGAGAGATTATACGACTTTTTTTTATTATATCTTTAATTGAATGATTAGTTTTTGACTGTTCCTTCATTTAGAAAAGATTGAGTTCTGAGTTAAAAGAGTGAAACATTTTGCAATGAGACTGGCATAAAATCAATGTTATTTGTTAGTATCATCTATAGCTATAGAGTTTGAGCAAATTAACAATGATTTCATTGTCTGTATAATAATAGCATGTAAAAATTATTAACTATATTTGTAATGTTTTACATATTTATATTTTTAATTTAAATTCATATATTTTGATTTAGTTGGACAAGACTTTTACTGGCCTTCAAACTCTTGGTGCCGAAACAGTGAGTTTTCCTTTCTTTTTTCGCCTAAAAGATTTTCTGTTAATGAACCTGTATAAAGACTATTAGATTTGTTGGTGAAGCCAAAATTATGATGTATATTCTGCCAATAAAAAATGAAAGAATACTTTGTAAACTAGTGTTACAGTAATTTTTTAAACAATTCAATTTCATATTAATTAGAATATTTAAAATTGAAATTCAGGTTAAGAAATATTTTAATGAATTTACACAAGCAATTTTAAATAGTTTATGAATATTTTATGAATAATTTATGAATATAAATTGTTTACTAGGTAAAAGTTTTTTTCTAATATTGAGCTTTCTTGCTTTTATAGATATTGCTTTATTTAATATCCAAGGAAAGTTTCTGAAAATTAGAACCAAATGGATTAGGTTATTTATGGTAAATTAGTTCATGTTGAATAAATGTAAATACTGGTGGTATGATTTCTTCAAAATAGGCACTACATAAAATTTCATCAAAAATAGTCTAAACCTTCCCTAAATATTTCTACTTGCTCTTTAAATTGTTTCAAAAAGATTTATTTTTTAAAATTTAATGTTCAAAACAAAAAGTGTTTTACATTGTTGTCCAAAAACATATAAAGTAAGAAATTTAAATTTTTGCTTTCACTTGTAGCGTTGATGTATTATTTATGCTGCATGAAAATAAATGAATATAATAATGTAAAATTATTGTTCCAAACGACACAAAATTGTCTCAATAGTGAGTAAATTGCAAGGTTGCCAAGTTTCTGCCGAGGTGGTTAAAACCACTTTTAGAAACCGGTTAAAACTGGCATGGCAGAAACCCTTTTCTGCCACATTTGTGGCAGAAATTTAGAAAATGACATAAGAGTTAAGCACTGAGATTGACATACAATGGATAATTCATAGAAAAACATTTAAATGTTAAACGAAGTAACCGGTGAAATTGCTGTTTACATTTATGAATCAGTAAATCTAACCAATTATATTACCCCTTACGTACAGCAGAGATTAAAACTGTTATAATAATTGGATTGTTGCCATGCAAATTATGTCTTGCAAAGGAAAAAAAAAACTATATGAAAGTAGCTCTATTCAGTTACATTAAGAGTTAAATGATAATAATTACTGAATTTCAGAGTTTAATATAATAAACTGAAATCTAGTATTTATATTTATTATATTGCTTTATTTTATATAAATATTTGATATACTGCACTGCACTCTTTATATTTAATGTAATCAAAATAATATATATTTACAAACAATGAATTACAGTTACATAGAGTTACATTTTTCAGTTTACTTAAACAAAATGTCAATAAGCAATTACTTGAACTAATATAGACGTTTTTCAAGTTTCTGCCAGTTTTTACCGGTTATAACCAGTTTCTGCCACTGGCATGGCAAAAACCAGTTTCTGCCGGCAAAAAGCCAACCCTGCTAAATTGTTCCACAAGAATGAGAGATTCAATGATACTACTGGCAATCTTTCTATTACTTTATATATTCATTTCACTTTACGTATACATTTTGCTTTATGTTTTACAATAACAATAAAGTGTTAACGCTATTTTTTCTGATTTTTTTTTAATTGCATCCATAACAAATATCAAGTTATATATTAACAAAGTTATTCTTTTTAGATTGTTGATCTACAATTATACAAAACTGGAAACTCTTTTCCACCTCCAGCTACTCCTAGAACATCATTCAATTTTCCCATATCTGATGCATCGAATTCAACTTTATCTTCCACTTCCTGTTCAGAAAGTGATTCTCTTCACACCCTGCCTGTTAAAATGGAAATTGACATCGATTCAGAAAGCAATGCAAACGATTCCACTGTCAACAAGAAACTTTTCACTTCCACCGAATCCAATAATGTCCTTCAAGAAGGAATTGAAACCAACTTGATGTCCAACAACATATTTTCAAGTGAAGCTGATTCTAAAAACAACACATTACTAGCAAATAATCTCCCTGTAAATAAAACACCCGTGAAGAAAGAATCTGTACCCAACGGAATTAGTACTGCATTTGTTAAGTGTACCGATTCTGGTGGTAGAGTTCTTCTAGTCCCTCAGTCATCTTTAGTTTGCATTAAAACAGACAAGCTGAGTCCGAATAAAACTAATAATTTATTAAATAACAACCTGAAACCTGAACTGAATGTCAAAAATTCTAAAGTTATAGTTCCTTCTTATATACTGAAGGTTGTTCCCAATAAAGACAGTTCTCAAAAACAAGTTATTATGATTCCAATGTCTGATAAAAAAGTGAATTCTAAAGAAATTAATAAACCAATGCCTATTCCTAATGAAAAAAGTTTAACGAATAATAGTTCTGAAGCGAGAAGTCTTAGTCCAATTCAAGAAAACATCGGAGAAAGACGTAAACATTTTAAATGTTGGGAACAAGAGGTGGCCAACATAAAGTAAGTTTTTGCCTTGAGTCGAGAAATGTGATTACATACTTTATTTCAATATGTGTATTAGTGATATTGTATTTATGAATGTTAATGAGACGCTTCTTTTTTAAAGGGCTGCCATTTTTGTTTAAATGTAAATAATAGCTAGATTCTTTCACTTTATATTTCAAAATGAGGCTCTTAACAAAATTCTTCCTTTTAAAAACAGTGTCCAATCTCATTACTCAAATCATCAATTTACCTATAAAGAAAAGAAAGTTTTGTGTATAGTGTTTAATGAACTTATTACTTAATCAAATGATAAACCTTTTCAAGTAATTTATTATTTAGAATGTTTAATTTTTTTTACAGAATTAGGACCTTATTTTCACATATTTACAAAAACAGAACCTTACCTAAAAAGAATCTCATTTAAAATTAATGTTAGATTCACATGTAATTTTCATAGATTTACAAAAACAGGCCCTTTTGTAAAAAGTTAAAGATAAGCACTCTTGTTAAAAATACAACACAACTAACAAATCAAAACAATAAAGTACCTGCCAACTTTTACTCTTGCCAAAAATTATTTTCCTTACTGGTAGTGACATGAGAATTTGAAAAATCAATTGTATGGAAAGAAAAATTATAATTTGCCAGAGCTTAAACACCCTTTCAAACAATAATCATTCATTTGTATATGTGTTTAATTTATTGATATGCAGTTAAGGTTAAAATCATCTTAAATTAAATATATAATTCCAAAATGAAATAGAAAGGTAAAATTTAAATTTTACCTGAAATATAAAAGAAACCTTCAGAAAGATCCGGAACGATTGTTAGCTATGGGGAAGAATCTCGTAAAACCTCCCTTTCCTTGAAATTTAAAATTTTAAGTGATTACCCATGGATTGGGATAGTTCTTGATCACTTTTGGAGTAATTACTTATTATGTAACAGTAATTAATAAATAAAATTAAATAATGAAATTAACAAAACATAATTAAGATGCAAATAAGATGGTTTGTGTTTCTTTGTTTTTATTCTTGGTAAGTCAAAGATTCTTAGCATCATGCCATACTGTATAGACAGCCAACTTAATTTCTTGTGGTGCAGAAATAGAGGAAATTTCATGTGTTTTACTGTTAATGGCATTTTCAACTTCATTTAGTGAGGGAGTATAAAATTAAGAAAGGAATTTTAACAACTGTAGAAGTAACTCGCTCTTAAATTTCCATTTTTAATATTTTGAAACATTTTCATTATTTTTTTTTAATCCAGTTACATTTTTTAAGATTATAGTTTTTCGCCATATGTGAGCTAACAGGATAAGTATTTATTAATTAAAAAATCTTCAAACATCGAATCAAGATGCAAACAAGGTCAGAAATGATGTATATCAGGTTTCTTTTTTGTTTGTCTACAATGTGAAAAAATAATGATTGCCATTTAAGTAAATTTTATAGTTCTTTTTACAGTTAATATGAACTGTCATTTGAAACAACTAAAATTATGTATTTTTTCATTATGCATTATAAATGTATTATGTATTTTTTATTCTAATTGTAATTATTATAAGAAATGACAATGACTAGGATCTATCAAAAGAATCAATAACTACCCGACGGACCTATAGGAAGAGGGTAGTATTTGAACATACTTCACTGTAATTAACTTTAATGTTTACATTGGATACTAAATAACTAATCAAGAGCTTATACTATTTTTAGATAAGATAAATAGGCCGTCCTACAAAATATTAATCACTAAGAGAAAGGAGAATTTTGATAAAAATTGATATTATTAAAAATCTCTCTTTAAAATAGCAAGTATATTAATTAGTTTAAAAAATGCTTTATTTTATAAACTAAAAATTGCAAATTACAATTGAGTAAATGTAATTATACTCCATTAAAATTTTCTAAGATCATCCGATTCATCAAGTTTTATAAAAATTTCTTTTTTTTTTTCTTAAATAAAATTATTATCTTATTATTTATACCTGAAATGTGGGCGTCAAGAATTACTTTATGTCACCTGAATGAATAAAAGCAAACATATTAGGATAAAAATAAGTGTCTTAAAAGGACTTTAAAGAATTTAAAACTCAATTTTAAATAATATTTATTGCATTTTCAAAAAAAGAAGCTAAGTTAAAGTTTATATGAAGTTTGAGACCCAGTATTTTTTAACTAACACCACATTTTAAATAAACTGATGTTTTTGTCAGAATTTTCATTAGAAATTACTATTATTTGTTTTTTGAAATGTATTAAATTTTTTCTCTCTTTTATCTAAGAGATGTCGTAATTTTAAGTATTCAATTTGCACAATTTAATTATTCCATGATACTTTCTAACTTTTTATGTATCCGATTTATAAATGTACCTCTTTTTTTAAGTGTTTCTGAGACTGCTGTGATTTATGCTATTTTGCTATTTTCAGTATTTCGTGTATAATTTTGTTTATTCTACAGTTTAGATTATTACAAGTCATTTGAAGAATTGCTTAGGAGGGTTACAAAAATTTTTCCTTTAGTAAAAGAAGATGTTGGTATGTATTTTATAATTCTTTACTCTTTAGGGGTATATAATATTTTCTGAGCATCATATATCTATATTGTCACGTTAAAGTTTTTATATTTAGTGAAGATTACAACATGAGGTTTTGATAATTTATTAACATCAGGAATTTACAAGCACCGGGAACTAGTCTGCGCCCAGAAGAACCCTTCTTTTCAATCACGGGATTGCTTTTATACTATCTCAGAATGTTCTAGAAGCTTCCTAGGAACAACGAAAGAGGAAATGACGTAGACTGAACATTCCAGAAGCTTCTGGAATGCTCATAAACTAAATAGAAAAATGAGTGTCCGCTTCCCGGATCGAACCGAGGATCTTCGGCTTTATAGAAGCGAATTCTACCCCTGAGCTACTGAGACTCGACAATATATATTTGTGAAGTTAAAGAAGAAAGGTATAATAAAGGCTTTTGTTTTGGCGGAAATCCATTTAATATATTGTAATATTAAAAATAAAAAAAATAGGATGAAAAATAAGAAACTTTTAAGACCAGTTGCTGTGAAATCTTTCAGGAAATTTTTTTAAAAATAGACCTGCAATATTCCTGTTTTTTGTCTGTTTTTTTCTTAAATTTTATAATAAATAACTGTTTAAGTACAACCTAAGTAGTAGAAAATGTGTTTAACTACTGGTTGATGTTTACTTATTTTTGCTGGTAATAGGAAAGTGAAATTTTTTTATTTTTAATGGTTTTTCTCCTTGCATAGATCTTTGGATCTAATTTTTTATTATCAATCTTTTATCTTCTACACAGGAAATAAATATTAAACTTTAAAAATATTAGTAGAATATCATAGATCCATTATGTAATATTTAAATTTAAAATATTTAAATAAATTATGTGTTAGACTTTATTTCAAACTTTTTATTCTCCATTTTAAATGATGCTAAATTTTCCACCTAATTATTTACTTGTTAATTTAAAGTTAAAGATTTTACGTGAAAATAATATAATTAACAGTATAGAATGAAATATAACTTATTATAATGAATTTATCTAGATGAACTCAGGTGTAAAGAAAAATATTTATAATTCAGCAAATGCAAAAGTTTTCTTTTCTCAAAGAAAAATTTTCCTCCCTTTGAATCAAAATTGAAAGAAAATTAAATAAAAATAAAGAATGTAAAGTAGTGCAATTAATTTTGTTTGATGGAATTTGAAATTGGGAAAAGATCCATTTATTATATGCAAGAAAAAAAAATCTATTATATCTTTTATTTTTTTATATAAATTTTTTTTTACTCATATCATTAGTATATACATTTTCTATGCATAGTCTATAAAGTAGTGTAATTAATTTTGTTTGACTGAGTTTAAAATTGCTAAAGGCATCCACTTATGCACTTAAAAAAAAAGTTTTTTTTCCTATTTTTTTTGTATGTATATTTTCTTATGAATAGCATACAAAACTGTACAATTAATTTTGTTTAGTGGAATTTAAAATTGGTAGTTTAATGGCCTAACGGCTAATGTAACTGGCATTTGACAAATAAATAAATAAGTTTAAAATTGGTAAAAGACCCACTTATAAATTTAAAGATAAAAATTATCTTTTATTCCTTTTTCTTATGCATATTCTTTTAAAATTTAGATAGAACTTTGTATCCATTTTGTGCCACATCTTTAGATGAATATTTGAGGTGGAATATTGGAAAGCAGCGAGCATCAGAGGTTTGTATGATTCAAATTTATTTTGTCTCTAATGTCTATCTGTCTCTAATGTATGTCTGTATTTGATGTCTCTAATTTTCTTATTCATCAGCTGTTTTGTGAAAGTCATAATTATTTATTGCTCTTATTTGTTGTAGCGTCAAGTATTCATGACTGGAAAGTAAAAAAAAGTTAAATATGTTTTTGTGATATTAATTTCTTTAATTACTTGCATATTAAATGAACAGGGTTGGCACTCCACAGGGAGAACAGGGAAAACCTGGAAAATACAGGGAATTTAAAAATCACCTAAAATAACGGAAAATGCAGGGAATTTTGATTTTTTGTTTAGAAACTGGGAAAATACAGGGAATTTTGTACTTTATTTTTATCTTTTAAAAAATAGTGACCACTCAAAGTGTAATCTATGGCAGTGGTGCGCAAACTTTTTTCGACTGCGACCCCTTTCGTAGAGAGAAAATTTTTGGCGACCCCTAGAGATAAATGTTCACAAATACGATGTATTTTTCGTGCATTTCTTTCGTTGCATCGAATAAAAATATCATCATATTTGACTCATATTAATTTTATTTATAATTTTAAGAAAATACTTTTTGTATAACAAAAATCAGTAATTGCCCTTTAATGAGATGTATGTGGCTGCAAGTTTCTAATTATCTCATCGATGTTTGGATGTACGTTGCTAATTGCAATTCGCGTATCATCTTCAGGGTTTAAACACGAGCGGTATTTAGTTTTTATTGAAACTAGTTTGCTAAATCCAGTTTCACAGAAATACGTTGATACAAATTGTATTAACACTCTGATGGCATTCTTGCATAAAACGGGATATTGTTTTTCCACGGATAGCCAGATAGAGAATACATTACGCATTACGGTCAAAGAAAGAGTGGACAGCATGAAATTGCAATTAAACAGTGAGTGACGGCGCTTCACTCTTTATATGTACACTGTATAGTATGCAGCATGCAGGGATAATGCATTTCATAAAAATTTGGCGACCCCCACAGGGGTCGCCACCCCTAGTTTGCGCACCACTGATCTATGGGATATTTAACCATGATATTTCAGCTATACTAAACTATTTCATTTACTGTAGCATTATTTAAGTATGTTCAGCTGTTTTTCCAGCAATTAAAACTAATAAATATAGTTTGCCCTATATAACTGACACAAGAGCACAGTAATTGTTGTTTTCTCTTAATATATTGTGCATAATATGTACAGGGAAAACACAGTGAATTTTTTTTCCAGATTTGAGTGACAACCCTGATGAATGTGTATGCAAATGTAGAACACATAAATAAATAACATATTAACTTTTGCTTTTGAAATCAATGTTTTATCATAAAGTTTATTTTGTTTTAATTTTTGTGATTGAAGGCTATTGTATGCATTATATAAATAAAGTTCAATAAGATATGATAAATTTAACTTTCAATATTTGAAGAGTTCTAAAGAAGATTTTGTCTAGTTATTAATATACATAATGGTTAAATTTACAATCAGAGTTAATATGTCTGGACTGTGTAGAGAGAAACTTGCACTTGTTTAATACCCCCTTTAACACTTTTGTGGTTGTGGGTTTGTTTACTTTTAAAATTTTTCACTTTTAACAAGGCCCATAAATGTGACTTTTAGAACTAACTTAATTTTAGTCACTCAAACAAGAAATGATGCAAAACAATAATCAATGAGATTTGGTTTAATGAGGCTTCAAAACTAAAATCCACACCAAAAAATGAGACATTAACCATGTGATATTTCATATATAATTGCAACCTATCTGCTCCATAGTTCTTTAAAAGTTTTGTGTTTTAAAAAAAAATGTATTTGTAGTTGTGTAGTATATGTAGGATGATCAATTCTTGCAAAGCTTTTAGTTTTACCTTCTTTATCATTTTTGTATTTTATCTACTGAAAAGTATACAATTTTATAATTCAATTGTATTCTGTAATTTTATTTTTGTTACATATTTTGAGTATGTATTTTAATATTTTTGCTTATAAACTAATATTTGCAGTGGAGAAGAGCTGGAGTGGTAAGAACAGCTATATTAAAACTTGCAGCTAAAAATAGTATTTCCTATTTGACGCCAGAAAGGTTTTGGTCACGTCGAGACATAATGCTTTGGTGTAGGAAGAATGGTTTTGTTCCTATGTCTACAGGTTAGTTTATCTCTGCTTTAATTATTTTAGTTCAACAATATTAATGAATCACAATAATGTTAATTTTATTGGTATTAAAATTATTCAAGAAATATTGTACTTGACCATGTTTAATTTTTTAAATATGTGTGTACATTTAGAAATTTTAAAACCTAATAATTAAATATTAGGTTAATGGGTTCTCAAGTAGGAAAATGAAAATGTAATTGAAACCCTTACAAAAAAATGCCCAAGATTATGAACAAGTTTTTAATTGTTTTTATAAGTATTATCTCTTAGTATTGAAAGATACTTATATATATAAAATAAATATCATTCATATGCATTGCATTATTTAACAAGAAAAAAAAATTAATCTGCTATCACAAATTTGCCAAATCAGAGGCAAAATTCACTAACTTAATCAGCTTATATTGAAATCAATTTTAAAAAAATGAGGGGGAAAATTCTATTGTTAATCTCAGATATTAAATATAGGGTTTAGGAAACATGATCTCAGATTCTGGATGATAGGTTTTATGGAAACATAATCCCAAAAGTATGGATGAAAAGAGAGAGGATTTAGGAAACATGGTCACAGAATCTATAAGATAAAATTTTTGTAAACATTGATCACATTTTAGCTCATGGGATTTATAAAATATTGATCATAGATTCTATAACGTATAGGTTTGATTAATGAAAAACTACTCATAATTTTTAAGCTGCTATACAATTTTGATTTTTCCAGTAATCTATGTGTTGTTGGCATGGCTTTTTTTGAACTTTCAGCTCCCAGCTTTCCTGCATCAGAAAACCAGTTTTTCCAATGTTAATATGGGATATTAGTGTAGCAAAGAAATTTCAATACATGATTGGTTGGATCTTGTCACTAGTTTTCTATTTATGTTAGATTGTTTTTATGACATTATTTTCTTTGAGCTCTGTTTTGTCTCTGAAATTAATGTTTTGCTATTAAAATATTGTGTAAATATCTGACTAATTTTTTTAGAGAAAATGTCAATGCTTCCAGAACCAAAGTGGTCAGGTATGTTGTGCATTTTTCTTAAATATTTAAAAAATTTATGTATTATATTAATGTTATATGTGATAAGACTTTTCATAAAATCATTGATGCGCAGAATATTTTGAAAAGTGTGTATGCAATGCTCTCAAATGTGCAATTTTAAATTTTCCAGTTTTTTTTAAAAAAAAAAAAATAATAGTAATAATTTTGTTCTGAAGCTTCCGTGGGCCATGAATCAGCAGTGAGCAGACCACAGGTTGTGCATCCCTTCATGTATATTGATTGTTACAAAATAAAATGTGCTAAGCGTCATAAATAATGTGTATATTTTCAAACTAAAAAATATTTTTGTTTTAAATTATTTTTTTTATACTTATTTATAAGCTCTAAATTGTCATTTAATGTTAGCAATCTTTATAGGTTTTCTTTTTTTTATAATTTATTTATTGTTTGTTTAAATTAAGCATGAATAGTATTATACAACTAAAATAATAAGCCTGTACATAATGCATGGTTGCCACAGGCGACTAAAATGCGACTATTTTCAGCATGAGGCCACTATGGCAACTTTTTTTGCCTGAAAAAGCAACTATTTTCAGGAAAAGGAGACTATTAGGAGACTTTTCTGTACTCCTAGCAATGTTTTTTAGCATAAATTTGGTTGAAAACCTGCAGCCGTGAATTTCTTTTCTTTAAAAATGTAAAATAAAAATAATAAAATTTAAATAATTAAAACATTAAAAAATGAAAAATTTTAGATTGCAAATTTGAGTAATCACTTTTTAATGCTTTCAATTTGCACAGATTCTATCGTAAGTCTATTTATTTTTTCGATCACCTTTTCAACAGTTTTTGCAACGAAATTCTGCACCATTTTAAAACATAAAATTTTTAATACGATATTACAATGCATGAATTTGAGTAATCACTTTTCACTATTTATCTATCTATATTTACTAAATTAATTATTGATAAAAAGGAAAATTTCTTTGAATAAGTGTGTTTTTTTTTTAATGAAAAAGTATTTTTTGAATGAATTTTAGTAATTAAAAGTATTTAATTTTCTGCAAATATACTATTTTTTTATATAAATATTTAGTGCTAGAACTTTAACGTTTATATAAAAATTATCATATACCAACTTGACTAAATGGATCATGGTATATGACAATTAAGTCATTTAATAAAATTTTAGTCCTATTTTTGTTTTCATTTGGGCAACTATTTTCATGCTTTAGGCTACAAAAAGGAACTATTTTGTTCATTTTTTTTCTGTGGCAACCCTGATGATGCCATGTATTAATTATGCTTGTTTTTAATTGCAGGTGTTGAACTGTGTTCCATAGCTAATGTAGATGAACTTACATCAAAATTAATAGAAGAAACAACTAATGAGAAAGCAGTACAGTATGACGATGATGAAGAAATAGAAGTGATTGAATGTGTAGAAGGGAAACCAACTAAATCTGATGATAATCAGAGTCAACTTTCAGCTTTCCATATGCCACCCTTAAATGAAGCAGCTCTATATGTGAAAGATACTGCGTTACAAGTAGGTTCTCTCTATTTTTTTGAAGGGTTCGAACTTAAATACATACCATTTACAATATGTAAATTTTTTTTGCTATGAAAATACAATTGTTTGGTAAAACAATGTACAGGGTTCCCACGGTCCTTGAGAGTCCTTGAATTTTGTTGTTGCTAAATTTAGGTCCTTGAAAAACTTGATAGGTCCTTGAATTTGTCCAATACTGCCGGCGGCCCTTTTTATAAAACACCCACGGATCTTTCTGTTTTGTTCCCGAGCTCTCTCACGTGGTTTTTAACGCCACCGTTTCAAACCGGGCCTAGCGTGTTGGTGTCTGCCAAGCGCGCGGAGCACAGCAGACAATCAATGCGTTCGGGGCGAGACTCCACTTCATCTTCTGTCGCATATGCTTAGATCTTTTTTTTCTTATCGAAACTGGAATACTCTCGAATTTCGTAACAATATGTACCTTGTAGTTTTCAATAAATTTGCCGTTTTACCAACCGCACTTGTCCTTACGTTTGCGTCATTTCAAAACTTTATTGTAAAGCGTATTCGCAAAGGCACGACTTCGTATTTTTGTTATGTAGTTTAGACTAGTTATGCTTGGGAAGTGCTATTTTAATCCCCAATGGATGGATAATCAAGCTTATAAAGAATGGATTTTATCTGCAACAATTGGTCAGCTTAGAGAAAGGCAATGTAATAATTGTTTTTTTCTTACCAGCTTGATGTTTAATGTAAAAGATCAGCTTAAATTGATAAACTTAAAAGATAGTGTCCTTAACTGGTTTTACCTTATGACTATATTAAGTTATTAAAGATGGAATGACTGACATTTTATGACAAAATCACGCTGAAGAGAACTGTCATTTCATGAACAAATTATTTTGAAGAAATATGACATTTAATGTACAGATCTCGTTAAAAAAAGCATTGTAATTTATGACCAGAACAAGTTAAAGAAGGATAAGAACATAATTAAAAGTAAGAAGAGAAAAAGAAGTTATAGTGTTATGATGCTAGAGAAAGGAATCACTCAATTTTTTCATCTCCTAAAATAGCAGAATACTTCTTTATAGCAATCGAAAAGTACAGCCTTTAGTTAACTGATAGCTTTACTATTCACCACTAACTATTCTTCTGAGTAGAATAAACTAATATTGGAAACCGATGTTTGACCTACTGTTTTCAACTAATTGGTAAAAATGGTAAAAAAAAGTTTTCCTGCATAATAAATTATTTGAGCCGATACGATTGCACTAAAATTACCTTATTACTTCCATTTACATTTTTCTTTCTTATTTGCTTCGTAATTTAACACGTTCACGCCGGGGTGACCCACCGGTGGGTCACGCTAGATTGTC